CCTTGCATTCTTTCACTCATGTCATAAACCTTCACGTGCTTCCTATGTGCCAGGGCTGAGCTAGTGGGACAGTTGCTGCTGGCCAGCTTCCCCAACAACTATTCCCAGCCCCTAGCCCTTGCTCATTTCTCTGACTACAAAAGCTAAAAAAGAAAAACACCCCTTTCTCAGCCTCCTCTGCCTGTCAGGGAGGCTCAGTTCTAGCCACTGACCGATAAAGGGAAAGTCTACTGGGGAATGTTCTGACAAGGACAAAAATTTTGTGAGTTAAAAAGGCTTTTGGCCCATTTTCCTGCCTGGAATGAGGATGTGATGCCTGGAGCTGCGGCAGGCGCCTTATGACCTTGAGGTGACAAGTGTGAGGCCAAAATATCAACACTGAAGATGGTAAAACAAAAGACAGAGAGTCCTCGTCCCGGATGACACCACTGAGCAGACACCACTGTCAAAACCATGAACCTCTGATTTCTTTTTTTTTTTTTTTAAGATTTTATTTATTTATTTGTCAGAAAGAGAGAGAGAGAAAGCACACAAGCAGGCAGAGAGGCGGGCAGAGGCAGAGAGAGAGGCAGGCTCCCCACTGAGCAGGAGCCTGATGTGGGACTCTATCCCAGGACCCTGGGATCATGACCCAAGCCGAAGGCAGCGGCCTAACCCACTGAGCCACCCAGGCGCCCCGGACCTCTGATTTCTTATGTGAGAAAAAAACAAATCTCCGTTAGTTTAAGGCACTGCTGATTGGCTATTCCAACACCTGTAGCCAAAAGCATGTATAACTTATAACTGGTTACACAGAGCCAGACAGTGAAGACAAATAATTACAAATGCACATGTGTAACCACGGGGAGAATCGCAGGGTACAGGCAAACCTAAGCTGGACTTGGCAGGGATGAGCCCGGATAACAGATAAAAGGCCAGGAAAAGAGCATTCGGCAGACAGAATGCTCTCTTTGAAGGGGACAAGAACATGGCGTCCTTGTGGAACTAAGGAAATTCCTGTAGAGCATATATGTAGGTAAGAGCTGGGTCGGGGGGGGTGGTGCGGGTAGAGAACACGGGTTGGAGTATTCTGGGTCTTGTGGGCTCTGACAAGGATATGCTGCTTTGCTCCATGAAAAATTAATGGGACGCCTCTGTAGAGTTATAAGCAGGAGCAAGTCATGATAACTCTACTTTTCTCAAAAAGTGTCCCTTGGTGAGGGATGGGGTGGGAGATGGCAAAGGAGAGGGAGAGGGAGAAGGGTGTGGCTATAAAAGGGCAATGGGAGGGATCCCTGCCATGATGGAAATGTTCTGTGCTTTGACTATATCAAGGTCAACATCCTAGTTGTGCCATTGTACTATCATTTTGCAAGTTGTTACTACTGGTGGGAACTGCATAACATAGGATCTACTATTTCTTCTTATAACTACATGAGAGTCTACAATGATCTTGAAATAAAAAGTCTAATGAGGAAATGTCTCCCGGTTTCAACATGGAGAGAAGATGCGAGGGGGAAACGGTGGGAGAGGGAAATCGATTAGGAAGCTACTCCAAGTTATCCAGAGAGCTGAGCTTTGGATAGGGAGGTGGGAAGAGAATAAGGAACTGATTCGAGAAGTATCTGGAAAGTAGTACAGACTGGCTGGATGATGGATCGTGTTTGGGGGGTGAAGACGGAGACAAAGTGCAGAAGAGTTCGAGGTTCCTGCCTAGAGCAGGCAGGTGGATTCTGACATATCTTACAGAGATGGGACACAAAGCAAGGGAGCAGGTCTCACGGTGGTAGCGGGGTAGGGGGGGCCGACATGGCCTGCTTATGACAAGGCAGCTTGAGGAGCCAATGAACTCTCCACACAGAGATTCTGAGTGGTCATTTGGAAATGCAATCACCCTCAAACAGAACTAAAAGTGAAATGTCCTTCCTTCATCCCTTCCCCCAAGTCCACTGCATTCCTTCTAGGAACACAGAAGTGATAAGGAAAACACTGGCCCCCTGACTGTTGCCATAGGACACTTTCAGCCCTTCCTTTTCTACTTGCTTCCTTGCTCTCCAACACGAGAAGCCTAGACCTGATTGGCGAACACCTGACATTCGAGGCGCCAGGTCTGATTACTGTTGGGGGCCACTGCTGAAGTCCATCCCCCGTACAGCAGGCCCCCTCCTTCTCCTCCCTCCCCTCACGCCCTGTGTCCAGTGCAGAACTCAGCCCCACTTTCTGTCTCCATTTGGGGCCAGAGCCTGCTTTCTAGAAGCAGTCCTGACTTTCTTCCCAGGTCTCTGCTCCACCTGCATCTGGTGTGAGGCCGGCACCTACCCCCAGCCAGATCTCTCTGCTTGTGTCTGAGCAGGTGTGTCCCCAGGCTTACACTGAGGGCTGCAGGTGGGAGACCTCCCTTTGGCCTCTGCATGAGATGCTCGCCAGTGAGTGAGGTGGCATGAAGGGAAGGCAGGAAAGAGGTTCAAAAGTTGGCACAGAAAGGAAAAAAAAAAAAAAAGACACATTCAAAATTACCCCTGAAAACCCTCCAGGAAGGTGCCATCTGAGAAAGAGACTCCCAATATGTTTTCCTTCCGGAATTGGAAGAGATCAGCACTGATAAAGTAGCTTACTTTCATAAGAAGCCGTGTCGCACAAACTAACTTCGTCTGTCTTTAAAGCCAGAATGGCACTCAGCACCATCACAGGCGCACTCTGGGAGGCCCCTGGGTGCTGCCACTGGTGGGGGAGCCGCCACTGGTGGGGGAGTCATGGGGTCATGTGCTGCCTCAGGCTGATTTCACGGCTGCCAGAAGTGCCCACGCGCGCTAGCTGCGGTTCTGACTCTTTCTCTCCCATTTCCTCACCAAATGTATACTTGGCAGGTGCCCCACGGCTCAAAATCCTGAAGGAGAGGATGGACGGAGGCCCTCCGGAGGCCCTACTATTTGGGATCTAATCTTCTGGATCTTTTTTGTGTATTTACGCACACATATTTTTTACATAAATACGAATATGGCTATGCATCTTTTGAAACTTAGTAGTTTCACTGAATGACAAAAATCTTGGCGATTCCCCCACCCCGCCCCCCACATCAGATAATAGAGCTGTTGGTGAGTATGTGCCATTGCTGAACATTTTTTTTAGTTGTATCAAGTTTTTGCTATTACAAATAATATGACCAAAATAAACATCACACATACATATATCTTTGCATATTTATGCAACTATTTCTAGAAAATAAACTAACAGACTCCAAACTGCTCGATCAAAGAGTATGTATGGTTGAAAACTTAAGAACTGTTGAACTGCTCTCCAAAAATATTTATTCCCAACCACAATGTATATCCCCGACACTGTATATTAACAATTTTTTACATTTTTGCCAATCCGATAAATAAAAAGGGGTATCTCAATTTTTGTTTCTTTGAGTCTACAGAGATTAAATTATCTTTTCAAATGTTTGTAGGCAATTCCTATTTTTTTCTTTGGGAGATTTGTTTCTATCTAAAAATGTTCTCCGTTGGATTGTCTATAGGTTTCTTATAGATTTTAGGAACCTCTCTTATTAATGATATTAATCTTTTATTGTAAATATTTCTTGTAGTCTAACACATGTCTTTTATTTGTATGTGGTTTATTTATTTATTATTTTTTATTTTTTCATATGTGGTGTCTTTAATTCAACTTTTTTTTTAAAGGCTATGTTCTGGGTATTAAGTCTTCCTTGGGTAGGCCCTCTCTGCCTCAAAATTATGCTTTCAGAAATTCCTTTTTTTTTCTGATATTTTTTACAGTTTTAATTTTTATGTTTATTTCTGGAGTATCTGTGAATTTGACATGAGATATGGCTTTGGCTTTACACTTTTTCCAAATATCTCTGTGCAAACTATCTCAGTGCCAATTACTCATTATTCCTTTGTTTTCCCACTGATTGAATTACCACCTTTTCAATATACCAAATTTCTTTATACACACATCTGTCTCCAGACCCTGACATTTTTTAATTACTCTAGCTCTCTAGTATGTTCTGATGTCTGGTAGGATACATCTGCCACAGCCTGCCACGACCACCAATATTATCATCCATAATTATTTATTTAGCTATTCTTAAGCTCTGTTTCTTCTACATACTGTTTCTTCTACATACACTTTATAAATGGATCAAATTTCATTAAAAAAAAACCTGTGACTTAAATGGGTTTGTTCTGAATTTATCATCTGGGGACAGGTGACATCTTAAACAATATGGAGGCTTCCCATCCTAGAACACAGAACTTCCCTTTAGTATACAACTTCTCTTTTATATTTTATGTAGAGATCTGCACTTTTCTTAATCAGACTTTGCCCATTTCTTGTTAGGTTTGTTCCTAGGTATTATAAACTTTGTTGTTACTATGAGTGATATATCTTTCTATTACATCTTATGATTGGCTCTTGCTATTCTGTAGGAAAGCTATTGATTGTGATATATTGATCCTGAACATAGATGCCTTAATGAGTTCTTCATTAGTTCTAACAGTATTTAGTTGATGCTTTAGGATCTACTTAAAGAATATTAACAGCTGCAAAAATTACATTTGTGTATATTTCCTTCTAATATTAACACTTACTATTTGTTCTTCTTGTCTAACCTTTGTTACTAACTTCAGAGGGAACAATCTAAAATTTTACTGTCAAGTGTAATACTTGCTTTAAATAGCTGGGAGAATAAGTCTATTAAGCTAAGGAGGTCTCCTTGTATTTCCTACCTTACTAAGACTTAGCAGGAGTAAGCTTTGAATTTCATCAACTTATTTTCAATGTGCTCAAATAAATTATAATTCAGTCTTTAAATAAAATCAGTCCTCATCTGGTCACATAAAACGTTAAGGACCATATCCTCTATTTCAGGAAGACAGTGTAACCATGTCAGCGACCTCTGATGCCGTGAGAGTTGGTAATACGTTAAAAACGTAGAGCTTGAAATGTCTTGGGGGGAGCGCACCAAAACAAATCACATATTTAATGCTGTTGGTAATTTAACGTGAATCCCTCACCTTGAAATCATCAGGAATGAGGAGTTTTGATGTTCGTAGAAAATTCAAGATATATCTGAACATCTGTCCATCTCTGTCAATGAAATAATGCTGTTTGAGACTGTCCAAAACAATGGGTTCTGTACCATCAAAAAGTCTTCCGATTCTGTGGTAGAAAAGAGGGAACAGTGAAAACAATTAGAAACAACTGGCCGCTAAAACTAAGCGCTATGGCTCTGTGTCACTGTCAAAGGCAGCAGTTTCAAAGATGGCGGTCAGGAAACACCACCTGGTACATAGTTACGCTTCTTGGACAAGTACTGGTACTTGCTTGATAAATATTTCAGGACCAGACAATTCAAGATAGTCTCAGGCTTTTTCAAGCAAATCCTTTCATTCACTGTCTGGAACCTGTAAAGAAAATGTCCCTGACATGGTGATTACGGCTAAATGCTGTCACTGTGATGGACAACCCTTTACCCTGGGTTACTTAAAACCAACTTCTCTGCTACTTTAAAAAAAAAAAAAAAATGTTACTGCTCCAAAGTGTCTTTTTAACAGATTCTACAGAGAAAGCAATTTAGTTTTTAAGAAATCTGTTTTCTGAGCTTTCCCCACCCATGAATCACAAACTTTCCAAAAATAAAGCAATGCCTATATGCTAACATCTATATTTAATTATAGAAAGGAATCATTGAAAATATCACTCGTCTAAGAGAATATGTTTTTCCATTAACAATATACAGTCTAGTTTCTTAGGTCTCAGCAAAAACCATCTGTCACAGCCAGGCATCATTATAAAAAAATAAATACTTGACCACCCCCAAAATATGTTCTAGTACTGGAACATGAGTGGCTACGGGTCATTTTTAAAAACAGGAATCCACGATATGTTTTTCCCATTTATAGAGTTAACAGTTGAACAATGTACTACAGTTAAAGCATTCTGCATTCATTCATTATCATTTATCCCTTTAAGGACAGCTGAACCTACATATTTCAGTATATATTCAGTTAATACAAAGCGGTCACATTGTACCATAAACAAGTAGACAGCCAGCTGATAACAAGTATCGTATATCAGAAAATAGAACTGACACCCTAAAAATCACTTCCTTGACCAAAAGGTGCATTGCACTTTTCACTAACAGTGTAGGTGGGCAAATGGCTCCATTTTTTCATGAAAAGCTTTTTTGGAACTCATACAGTCTATCTCTGATTTGGAACATCATTTTATTGCTTTGAAGACAATTTTGAAATCACATGTTGAAATGTGACAGAGGTAATGGTAAATCGATACTTTTACCCCTCCTAAAATACAACAAACAAACCGACAAATAGAGAAGCTGTTTTCCCTCCTTCCCCCAAAAGAAAAGCTTGGGAATTTGTTTCAATAAAAATTTTTCAAGGATAATTAGAAAACTCATGTCCTACCTGAAGGTAGTAAGTGCAAAGAAGAGAGCAACTAATTATAGTCAGGTCATATTTCTTTTTTTGACAGAGAGAGAGAGAGAAAGATCACAAGTAGGCAGAGAGGCAGGCAGAGAGAGAGTGGGGAGCAAGCTCCCCGCTGAGCAGAGAGCCAGATGCGGGGCTTGATCCCAGGTCCCCGAGGGATCATGACAGTCAGGTCGTATTTCTAAAACTCAGTATTTTTCTCAGCTGATGTTCTTGTCCAACTTTCCATGAATGGAGGGTGATTCACAATTCCTTCCTTCCAGTTTTATCCAGGGTGTGGCTCCCAACCATCCTAGGACTCCTTCACCGCAAGCAAACTTGTCATTCATTTCCCATTAACACATCAATCAAACAGGCTACGGAAAGAAGCAGTGAAACTAAAACACACTCAGTCACTTATTTATAGTGTTTCCAGTACAGTCTGGTGTAGGATGGGAAAGAACGAGACTTGTTTGCTTATTACTAAGACATTTTACTCTTCATTGTTCACATGATAAACTTACAGTGGACAGGGGAAGAAAAGGGAGTTCTATTTACTAAGTGCTGTCCAGATAACATGCCCTATCCTCAGCACTTCACGGATGTAAAGGACCCATTATCCTCCTTTTAAAGATGAAGAAACAGGCTCAAAAGGACGAGTAACTTGCCCAACTAGTTAAGTAACATTGGAGGATTTGTGCACAGTCTGTTTGATCTTAAAGGGGCCTCCCTACAACGAATGGAATGAAAAGAATTGCCACTATCGAAGGAAAGCTTCTGATCTAGAGTTTTTACTTTCTATCTTCTGTTTGTTTAGCAAGAGCTTTGCAATGAAATCCAAGCGTGTCTATCGATTACTTCTGTGGCCTGTAATATAGGAGTACCGGTGACTGCAAGTCACTTTAGTCACGAGATGAAAAGCAAGTATTTTATTCTTAAATAAGTCCTATGCTTATTTTCTTAGAAACTCAATTTCAAAATCTAGCCCTGGATGCACTCTGGTACAGCATGAGTGACTGGTGAATCTCTACGGAGTCAACAAGTAAGGGAGTGACTGAGTGGTGAGGGGAGTTTGGCTGGGCCCTTTCCTAGCTGTGATCTGGGGGAATGGACTTCTCTGTATCTCCGTTTCTCTTATAAAATGATGTCTTTCTGGGCGCCTGGGTGGCTCACTCTGCTAAGCCTCTGCCTTCTGCTCAGGTCATGATGCCTGCTTCCTGGGATGGAGCCCCACGTTGGGCTCCCTGCTCAGCGGCAAGCCCGCTTCAACACCCCCTCCCCCATCCCCACTCATGATCTCTCTCTCACAAATAAGTAAGTAAAATCTTAAAAATAAAATTGTTTCTTTTATAAAATTGCCCTTTTCCTCGGGGTTGATGAGAAAAAGCAAACGGGGTCATGTCGAGCTCACAAACAGGGCAACAAGAGAAGGTGTCCCAAGCTCGCGAGCAACTATTTCTGTGGAAGCACATCTCAGAAGACAGCAGGCACTAGGAACTATCTGGGCCTTGGTGTCTTGTGAAAGACCTCAGTGAGGTAGGAGGGACGTGCCATTTAAAAGGCTTTTAGGGGGGCGCCTGGGTGGCTCAGTGGGTTAAAGCCTCTGCCTTCAACTCAGGTCATGATCCTGGGGTCCTGGGATCGAGCCCCACATTGGGCTCTCTGGGCAGCGGGGAGCCTGCTTCCCCTTCTCTCTCTCTCTGCTTGCCTCTCTGCCTACTTGTGATCTCTGTCTGTCAAATAATAAATAAAATC